GTTTTAAAATGTCCCTCTCAGAAGGTAAACTTTGTGCTTTATATCCAGCACACAAAATAAAAAACTATTTATCTTCACCTGAAAACCATGCAGACCAATCAATATTCTGAATATAAGCAGCTTGGGTAACAATCTTACTTCCTTCCTTACTTGCCCCCCAGAAGCTGGTGAAGCTCACACAAAAGCTCCTAGCTCAAGACCAATAAGGGGCCTTTGGCAAGCTCACAATCTGTTTCCAAGTCCTCCCACCTGCAATACAAATGACTGCAGATGCTTTCTGCAGTGTATCTAGGTCATTTACACCACTGACTACGTAACACTCCATGCCACCATCTCAATGAATTGGAGCCTAAGCTTCTATTGGGAAGTACCCCAAGGCAAGGCCATCTTTACTTAGGGGTGTAAGGGGTGCTGCTATGCGGCAGCAAAGTCAGTGGCACCTTTGACACTACTGATCTTGTGCTAGGGGTAGGCAGGCAGCGTGAGATTAGTCATGTCAAAGGGGCCGCTGACCACGAGGAATCTTAGCTCAAGCCATCCAGGTTTGCTCTGCTTAAGAACTTCCAAGGGAAGGAGTCAAGAGTGCGCACCATCTCCCGTTTCCTGTGGGGAAACTCTGCTTGCTTGATCTGCGTCTCCCTCCCAAGCCATGATCAGCCTGGACAAGGAAGAGACCAAGTTCGATTTCAATTTCCTCCGAGTTTAACCAGAGCAATGAGGGTGCCAGCAGCAAAGGTGGGTGGCGAGGCAACGCCGTCCGGCTTCCCGGGATTTAAGGTGGGGTGTGTGGGGGAGAGAGGTTAGTTTATTTCCAGCACGTTAAATATAGTGGTTCTTCTGGGACGAAGGAAGAAGAGTCTTCACCAGAGGCAGAGCCAAGGCATGGAAGGAAGGAGCCATCTGGAGGCGCCTCCTGTGGCTGCGATGCAAACGTCTCTCCCTTCTTTCCCCTAAGAGATGGGTCAGTTTGGGGGCTAAGCTAAATTTGGGGGCACTGGGCAGATCTTTGTACCCCGGCGGCACATATGCTAAAGACAGCCCTGCCCCAAGAGCAGGTTCCTATTCGTATTACACTCCAGCCATTGAACACAAGGAGACATTCAACAATTTCTTGCTTCTCTCTGGAGCCATTTAGGCATTCTAGGAACTGAGAATTGGCCTTCCCTGGATCAATTATACAAGTGAAAGGGTTGTTTTGTATGAGACATCCACATATTAGCTGCCAGCTGGGCATTCTAGGAACTGAGAATAAGGCCCCAGTGCAAAATGTAATACAGGCAACCCTCGTTTTGGACAGCGGTTATGTTCCGGGTCATAGTGCATGTTGGCAGAGGGCACATAAGCCTACCCCACCCCCATTTCTAGATTTGAAAATGGCCTGCATGTACACAAAACAGGAGTTGCCTGTATATATTACAATTGAATTCTTGTTTCCTATCAAAGAAACCTAATTTTCTGGGCCTAATTCAAGGTACTTGCCTTGATATTAATGCTTTACATGATTTGGGTCCCAAATACCTTCAAGAGCATTTATGTGCCAATTAGGACATGACAATTTGCAAAAGAAGCTCATCTTATATGGTGCCACTGCCTTTGGAAATGCAGGGAGCCGATTGTCTATAGGGGGTGCACACTGAAGGCATACCCCTTTTTGACCTTTGACAGTATATATCTGGTTTGTTATGTATATATGGCATATCATTTTGGGGTGGGACTGTTTTGTTGCATGATATTATTTTTAAATGTAACCCACCTTGGGACCTTAAAGTGAAAGGCAGGTAACAAATATTAATCAGCATCTCAGTGTCATCCATGAAGAGAAGGAACCCTTCTGTTCAGATACCTTGTTAGCACCCAAGCCTAAGTTGCTACTCAATAATTTGGTTTTTTGGTTGCTACTCAATAATTTGGTTTTTTCTGGCTTTCTTGACTTTATAACCATTTTAGTACGACCTTTATACAGAATAGCAACCAACACATTTGTTACAGAGATGGACACATTTGAACAGCAATATTTACCAGAAACAGAGGGCTGCCGAGACGTTTCAGTGGCTTTACTTGGACCTACACTCCTAGATGTTGGTTGAACAAGAAGTGTTGGTTGATGCTGAGTTAACTGTTTGGGACGTTTTGCACTGGCAACAGTAGGTTTCTGTGCCTGAGGCTGAATAGGCACCCGCTGAGCAACATTTAAAGGAGTCAGAACACGCTGCTGTTGGACTTCAATTCCAGGTGTCGGGTTCTGGGTCACAGGAACCCGTCTTGCACCATCCACAATAGCTGCCTGATTTTTAAAAAACAACAACAGTAAATATCACACATAGCAAGCTAAGAGATCTTTGCATCCTTCCTTGTCTGAACTGACCAATGAGAACTGTTTGGTTTGTCTGAACTGACCAATGAGAAAAAACCATAGCTTCCCAAGGTGGAATCTAAACACATAAAAACGCTGTGAAAATGCTTTAAAAAAAAAAAAAGTTTTGAAAAATACATTGAATCTGGCATAGCTCACTCTCACCATCTAGTGTCACATTTGTATACTGCACTTTACAACACATTTAAAACATTTCATTTGCAGCTACATAGCCGAGTCCCAAGTCCGGACATAAAAGAAAATTGCATCTAGACTTGGCCTTAAATAGATGGGGAACATTACTCCACATGTTAATTATTCACTCCAGCACTATCAAATATCAGTTTTGGTCACATACAGAAATAATCCAGTAAGAACTGTAGTTCTGATTAACAAAGCCAAGATTTACAATGCTCAGTATCTGAAGAGCACTTTACCTTGCCATTATGAGCTGAATTAGCATTCAAATTTTCTTTACAAACTTTGTCCATTACTGCCTGGAGAAAATGAAATTCAGTTATTCAACTTGTGTAAAACATGAAATCCAAGTTATTTAAAGCTCTCACTTCTATAATCTAGGCGCCAATGATTCTAAAACCAGTTAGCTTGACATATTTGATAAAATATACAATTCTATGCCTGTCAAAGCAGTGAGGCTCCCAAAACATTAATCCCACTTCTTGATAATATTTAGGCAGCTTAATAGAAGCAAATAATGACACACTAGAATTCCCTGATGCAGCTCATACTACCCGATATTTGGAAATGCCTGAAGATTTTATCACTGCCCAGAAGGCTTTTCCGTTTTAAGCTCTGAAGGAGCAAACAAGCTATGGTATACTGATAAACTTGATTTGGAAGAAATTCTTAATGCTTTCCGCATTATTGGTGGATTATTGGCTATTACAATATGCGGGTTGTCCCAGAGGGTGAAGCTCAAGTAGGTAAATGAGTCAAAGTGTAGCTGGTTTGTTTCTGCTTATCCAGCAGAAATGATGGGGTTGTATTCTATGGATGTGAGAAAGGAAGAAAATAACTTTTTTACTGAAATACCTCTGGTTGCGAACAGGATCCATTTTGGAGGCCCGTTCGCAACATGAAAAGAACGCAACCCGCCGTGGCGCGTCTGCGCATGCGCGGGTTGTGATTCGCCGCTTCTGCGCATGTCATTTTGCATGTCTGCGCATGCGGTGAAACCCGGAAGTAACCCTTTCTGGTACTTCCAGGTTGCCGCGCGACACAACCTGAAGAAACGTAACATAAGGTATGACTGTAATGCAAACACTAATAACCTATAAATAGTAAATAAAACTGGGTTATCCCCACAACTGGAAGGATCTCTGCCTACTAGGACTATATATGCCTGTATCTTGAGAGTGAAGTGCAGCTTTGCTTTTTCCTAGGAGTAGGGCAAGTTGAAAAATGTGCTCAAACATTTGGAAAACCTACAGCTTCATGGCAGTCCTTGGGCCTCTTTCCATAGTGTTATCCCCATACATCTTATAAGCCCCTTTATTCTTTAACTCTTCAAAACTACCTCACAACCCATGCCACACAACCTTGTTTCTTTGTTCTAATGAAACTCAACCTTGTAACATGTAACAAATAAAAATTGAAGATTACAGTTGATGCTTGGGGTACCTTCCAAACCAGTGTTTTTTTCAGAAGGTACTCATGGGTATGCAGTACCGGTACCTCTTTTTCTAGGGAATAAAGCACTGCTTCAAACTATGGTTTTTAAGTACATTGCACCCCACCCCCCAAAAAACCTGGGAGCTGCAGTTTACATCTCCCAGAGCTACAATTCCCAGCGCCCTTAACAAATCAGTTCCCAGGAATCTTGGGGAAGGGAAAAAGATGTGCTTTCAGTGTATACTGTGCATGCAACCAAGCACTGAGGCCTCCTCACTCCCTCTCTCATTCTACGCAGAAGAAACGGGGCTTTCTAGAAGTTTCCTTCGTGCTGGGCACCTATCCCACCCCAGAGCCACTCAAGCCATTTATGAGCTCACAATTTTTACCAGAAGCGCTACGGCTCTCTGGGATGCGCCTTCCGCCTTTACTCACGAGTGCCACAGCTCAAGGTCGTAACCACTTTCCTTAACGACACCCCGAAAGCAGACGCAGGCAGGCCGAATACCTCACGATTCCTGGGCACTCCAGAGGCCTCGGCCGCCTACCCTCCGCGTTCCTCCAACAGCCTCCGGAGCTATTTGAATTCAAACCTTCGCCCGCCCACTCAGCAACGCTCTTTAAACCGCCGCCGCGCTCCTATTGGCGGAGCTCACCCTGTTGTCGACGGGGCTACCGCTCGCTGATTCGTTGGTCTCCGCAACCACCGCTCCGCCCATTCGCGGGCTTCTAACTGTCGCCTTTGAGGGAGAGCCGCTGTCCTCGCGGCTTGCGATCATTTGCCCATGTGCAGAGGGAGGGACACTGAGCGGGGCGGGGTTTCGCAAGGCTGCTCTTCTCCTGCTTGGTGTCTGTTGTTGTGAATCGTGAACAAGAGAGAGAGCGCGCTTGGCTAAGCAGGATATGCTCTCAGCGTAGCGCGCGAGCACTCTTTTTGTAGGCTCGCGATACGCTGGTTGCGTAAACCCGTCGCACAGGGCCCATTGCTCTTTTCCCTTGCGCAAGTGGCGCAGCCCCTACGGTGTAGACGGCAAAAATCTCGTATCCACCGCCTCATTGTAGTGTGACGGACTCAGACTCAGACTGAGAGTTGGGTCTATTCCTGCCCCCAGCCTCTACACTTTGGGGCCGAACCCCCCACTTTGAAAGACTTGAGTGAGGCGGCTCCTGTGAGGGCAGCTGCCAACACTGCAGGGCTGGTTTTTTGTGACAATGAAACTCGCTTGAGTGTCCACAGAGAAACTGAGACATTTTAAGCGGGAAACGTGACAGGCCAGCAGAAGTGCGGCTCTGCACCTTGGCTGCAAAGGGGGAAAACAGTGGGGCATGCCATTTTACATGAGGGGTGACTCTCCCTAAAACCAAGAGTTCACCACGCCGAATTTGAAAGACCGTGTGAATGGCCATTCTGAAATGAGCTAGCTTGCTGCAAACTGTCAGGAGCAGCAGGGCTGCCCAGCCAAAGAGGGCCACAGCCCTCTGGTCCATTGGTGACCTCCAGTAAGTGGTAGTGTTTGCCCACAAAGAATGCATAGGTCAGATTCACAGCGATGTTTTGCTTTTGTTTTTGAAGAGATGCTGAGCGGTTGTTTTCTTTCAGGTGGAGGGCATCAGATTGTTTTTTAAACCTATGGGCCCAACAGGAACAGGCAACACTGGGTGGGTGAAGACCAATGATTCTGGTATTCTCAGTTTTTCAGTTGTGGCATCAAAAAAGTGTTTGTCTGAAGACAACTTTGACCACATTTTATCAGAGCCGTGGTGGTCTATCAGTTCAGGTATCAGGCTACTAAGTCAAAAATGAACAACTTGCCATGGGATGGACTTTCTATTGACAAATGTGAAACAACATTGCACCAGACTAGATTTCCCATAATGCTCAGTTCTGCACGGTGAACATTGTGCCTCTCAAGCAGGCAGCTGTTGACAGATGTGAGGGTGGATTTGAGGAGAAGCCCACTCCTCTGTCCATGTCTTTTGAAAAGCTACCATGACTGGATTATGAGACTGACCTTTGAGGACCAGGGCAGACATCAGATTAATGTGTGCTTCTCAGGTTGAAGGTCATCTGCATATAACTTAATTCTTGAGCACAAGTGAGAGGATTGAAGAGGTAGTGTGAAGGATATACAGTTGTGAGAAAAAAATGACAAGTCGTCGTATCACGCCACCATGTGATAGGCGGCAGTTTCCATGGGGCATGAGTAACATGGGCTTGCCTACCAATGAACCACGACCAATGCGACTGTCATTTCTTGAAGCTGATGTGAGTAGAATTGTTCGATAAGATTGGGGGCATGAGGTATTTGGGCCTGTTGCAATGTAGACTGTCAAAGCAAGCATGCCCAAGGTCATTCTTCCTATCTTTTGTCACTGAACAGTGCCCATTTACTTATGCACCGCTTGTCTAAGGTTGCAATCCACTGTACAGTACACTTACTTGGGAGTAAACTCCCTTGAATTCAGTGGGACACCCTGAGGAAACATGCAACGCATCAGGCTGCACAATTGCAACTCTATTCAGTTTTAAAATAAGTCCTATTAAACTCAAGTGGGGTTTACCTCTGAGTAAACTGATTATGAGATTACCAGGTGAATGCTTTATTTAAGACAGGCATCCCCAAACTCGGCCCTCCAGTTGTTTTGGGACTACAATTCCCATCATCCCTGACCACTGTTAGCTAGGGATGATGGGAGTTGTAGTCCTAAAACATCTGGAGGGCCGAGTTTAGGGATGCCTGATTTAAGAGGAGACCCCATATTTCACCATCTGAGCTGCATGGCATTCAATAGGAAGCTCAACCATCTGATTCCTGCCCTTTAGAATGGTTGTGCACCTCTAGATATGAAGAACTGGTCAGGGAAGAGTTTGGAACTTTTTAAGTCAATATACTGTATATTATCCAATTTTTAGGCAGAAAAAAACCCTGAGGTCAAATAATCAGGCCCATTCTCAATATTTTTGTTAAAACTTGGAAATTCCTAAAAGTCCTATATTAGTAAGAAGTTGTGTACACACATTTTCAGGATATTGTTGCTTAAGGCTGCAATTATGTACGTGCTTACCTAGGAGTAAGCCACATTGTGGGTGGGGCTTAGATCTGAGTAAATGCACAGCAGGGTACTGGAAGTGACAACAGAATTATCAATCAGGCTCAGCAGAATTTACTGTCCCTAGAATTAAATCCTAGCTCCTTGTTTGTGAATGAAATATCTACCACACTGCACATTTTTTAATATAGTGATTATGGGCATAACCAGGGATTTTGTTAGGAGGGGCAGAATCTCATGTTTGTATTGATGTTTATTGATGGGGGGGCACCTGCCCCTCTCTAGGCTACACCCATGATACTGATCCATGTAAATTTGATTTTCAACTAAGTATCCTTTTTTGTGTGTGGCAAGGCTCCTGTGCCCCGACCGTTTTATAGTAGCCAAAAATTTAAAAATACTGTACTGTACTGTAAAACATTTGCCCCCAAGAGGGAGCTACAGTGATAGAGAAAACCTGGCATGCCAAACTCCTTCCCATTACAGTATCCATCTTCACGTCGTATTTCGAAAAGACGTGGCTTTACTGGTGGCGCATGCGCACACGTGACCCCTTGCTTCCGCTCCTTTTCTCCTCCCAGCTGCGGCTTCAATCGATGTGCGGAGGTTCGATGCAGCAGCCTGTTCGACGCAGCGGCCCTCGGTCCAGGTTGCTGCCAGCCCCTCCGCAGGCTCCGCTCCCGCTGCCTTTGCCGCCGCAGCCGCCCGCCGACGTCGTGGGGCCCCCGGCAGCCATTTTGAGCGCAGATCGACCCAGGCCGAAAGACGGGCTGGTAAGAATCAAGTCTCGCTTTCCGGGCCCGGCGGTTTCGCCAGCTCTTCGCCGTGGCCGTTTCTTGCACGTGGAGAACGCCAGGTTACCCGCCGCTTTCCCTTTAATGGAAGAGCCGCCCAGCCCCGCAGCCTTTGTCACGATAGGCTCGGTGTTGTGGGAGGTGGGAAATACGGATTTCGGCGCGGGGAAAAGGCTGCAGGAGGGATCTACCAAAACCCTCGGCAATTTTCAGGTGGCCCGTGGGAGAAAATTTGTGGGAACTATTAGGTTATATTACTTAATATATTTTTGTCCTTGGTTGCTTTTTTATTTCTGCTGTGAAAGCAACCTTGGGCATTTTACTAAAAAAAGAAAGAAGGTTACAAATGCTTTCAAAAATAAAATTAAACATAAATGCCTTCTTCCTGTACATGTATGTAGTTATTTTTTCCTTCTTCGTTTCAGACTTCTGGAAGACAGCCCTTACTCACAATGTATAGACCAAAAGTAAGCCTGAAAGACAGGCAACAACTTTACAGACTCATTATTAGTCAGTTGCTTTATGATGGATATATCAACATTGCTAACGGTCTGATAAATGAGGTAAAACCACAGTCTGTATGTGCACCCTCCGAACAACTATTGCATCTTATTAAAGTGGGTAAGTTGTGATGTGAAACAAATTTAATATGCTGTGTTTAAGGTCAGGTATGCACTATTAGTTCTGTTAAGACTGTTATTTTAGATGGAATGTCAGAACATCAGTAATCAAAATACTTCTTTTGTCTCTGGATATTTAAGCCATTAAAGTTATCTGCAGTCACTTAAGTCTTCTAAAACCATAGTTAGCAAATAGCACTGATAGATGTCCCAGATCAGTACTTAATAGAGAAATATGTAAAATGAGCCATTATATTCTGTGATTCTGCTTGGAATAGGATGTAAAGCAGCAAAGACATGTACATGATGGCTCTGTTGCAGCTGTTTGTGTATAAACTAGGTCAGCTTCCCTATCTGTCCAGTGAATTTGCAACCATGCTACACCTTAGCTTGCCACCAATCTGCTATCTCTCCATTTTACGCTTTGGAGCGAAGATCAGTTGCTGCTCATCTACTTGTGTGGGTGCCAGGTACACTAAACTAGAGAGGCACAGTTGTGAATAATTGCATTTCACCTTGTGGGTTTTTTAGGAAGACTTTCTTTTAAACAGGTGAACATCTCATATAGAGTAAAAATGGTTGTTAGCGGTATGAATTATTCTGCCAGTTTACTTTCCACAAATTTTCTGATGTTATCTTATGCTTCCAGTTAAGTTATAAAAACCTTAAACAACACCCCAGTCCAAGAATCGTATTTAGCAGCCTCAGCTTTTGTAGCTGGGGTCAGACAGGTCCCCACCCTTCTAGACCAGGTGGGAAAGGCCTATAAGGCAGGGAACAGGTCTTCTAGGACTCACAGATTGATAAGCATTCAAAATACCAATGGATTAGGTTTAAGAACTATTGTCATAACAGGTTTTTTCCTGTTTATAAAGTTTGGGGCTTCTTACTTTTGGAAAATGAGCTTTTGTAATTTCTTTTCTTCCAGGAATGGAAAATGACGATAGTGCAGTTCAGTATGCAATTGGGCGCTCTGATACAGTAGCTCCTGGCACAGGGATTGACTTGGAATTTGATGCAGATGTGCAGACCATGTCCCCAGAAGCTTCTGAATATGAGACCTGTTATGTCACATCGCACAAAGGACCATGTCGTGTAGCTACATACAGCAGAGATGGACAGTTAATAGCTACAGGATCAGCTGATGCTTCAATCAAAATACTTGATACAGAGAGAATGTTAGCAAAGAGTGCTATGCCAATTGAGGTAAATGCTCAAATAGTAATGAATCAATAAATGTTTGCATTTTCCTTTTGCAGCTTTAGGGTCCTCTGGGAATTATCTGCCAAAAGAAACTGGTCATGCTTCTATTTGTCGGGACAGCATCTCATCACTCTGCCAGTTAAGCTGTGGGGTGCCAGTGCTATTTACTAGTCATATGAAGCTGTTGGGAGCAGTCTCAGTTGGGAGAAGCCTGGACGCCGTCATGGGCTGGATGAGGATCAATAAACTGAGCCTCCTCTGATAACACAAAAAGCCTTTGGGTGGATGGTTCCTGAGTCCAGGAACTTGGGTTGCTTGAATTCACTTTAAGGCACAGGTATACAGATACTGGCATTAGAGGCCTAGGTAGGCATAGAGAGCCTACTACCAACTTCAGTTGGTATGTCAACTTCACCTTTTCCGAGACAATGATAGCCTGGCCACCATGATCCACACATTGTTAACCTCATAATTAGATTAATGTGGTTTATATGGGTCTGCCTTTGGACTTTGTTCAGAAGCTTCAGCTAGTGCAGAATGCAGCAGCTAGGATTCTGAGCAGAGTACCTAGCTTTGCACGAATTATACCTGTGTTTAAAGAACTGCATCAGAAGAAAAGGAGGCAATTTTTATTATTTCCCCCCTCTCCCTACAGCCACCCACATCTCTCTCTCTCTCTCTCTCTCTCTCTCACACACACACACACACACACACACACACACACATTTTGTAGAGTTTTGTGGGGTACAGGAAGCTGCAGGTATTGGTGACTGAATTTAGTGCTAGCATAGCCATGGACTTGCAAAGTTTGGACTAGTCCTGATTTCTCGAGTTCCTTTTTTCATTTGTAAGATGGGCTGTTAATGACCCACTAAAGAGAGTTATTTGGACATATACGAGAGATTGTTTCACACTTTAAACATCCTGCATAAACAGTTGTGGGAAGATGCAGATCCACTGTGTCCGCTATGAAGGGAACACCATCAGATGTGCAATAGACAGCATTTGTGTCTTTATGCCTGCAGCGAAAATTCTGTGCTTACTGTGCTGTGTTTTGCAATGTATTCTTCAGGTCATGATGAATGAAACAGCTCAGCAGAACATGGAGAACCACCCTGTTATTAGAACTCTCTATGATCACGTGGATGAGGTGACATGTTTAGCTTTCCATCCAACAGAACAAATCCTTGCCTCTGGTTCAAGGGATTACACACTTAAATTGTTTGACTACTCAAAACCATCTGCCAAAAGAGCCTTCAAATATATCCAGGTTAGACACTTAAATCAAAACTTTATAAGGAATAACAAAAATAACTAGAAAAGCATGACTTTTGAAGCCTTGTTGATGTTATTAAATGGTGTGTACAAGTGTTCTTGGGATTAAGACCATCCTGGTAAAACATACTTTGGACATTGCCATTCAGACTCCTCCTAACTTTAATTGAGGGGCCAAACTAGCTATGAAATGGTTTTCTTTCATTCTTCCCCTGGCTTTTTAAAAACTGAAAATCAGTATCAGCTGCTGCAGTTGAGTGGAAGAACAGAGAAGTAGAATACAGGACTGCTTAATTTCCCCCCCCCCTTCAAAAACATTTTATATGGGGATAATGTGTGATTTTAAATGTCGAATGCCTGGGAAGGATTTGTATTCTGCAAGGTACGATGTAAATAATTGTAGCAAATAAATAAAATTGCCACCAACACCCCAAGTTGTTTTTAGGGTTATTTCCCCTATATTTCCCCCCTTGGGAAGGGCAATATAGCTAGAAAATTCCTAGGGAAAGGTGGCTCCTCTGTCCAATCTCTCAAGAAGAAATTAACATGGAACACCATGATCATCCAATCTGCTAGAGAAGGGGCGAAATGCATAGGGCAGATTACAGTAGATCTGAAGTCGTTTGTGACTTCTTTAAGCATAACTAAATACCGTATTTTTTGCACCATAACACTCACTTTTTTCCTCCTAAAAAGTATGGGGAAATGTCTGTGCGTGTTATGGAGGGAATGCCCACGGGTGGCATGCCTACGGATTTTCCTCCTCTAAAAACTATGTGCGTGTTATGGTCGGGTGCGTGTTATAGAGCGAAAAATACGGTACTTCTCTTCCCTAACAGTAGCTTAGTTTTACCAATTTATTCAGAGCATGAATCCAACTTAAAGGAAAATGAGAGTGGTCTCTGGGGATCTACAAAGTAGGTGATACTGATCTTGAAATGGTGTGACTCGGACACAACTCCCTTCAGAACCTTTTTCCTGATAAATAATAATCTCACCTCTTTTATGAGGACCTGCTTTCCCACACTTTGTTTAGAAAAATCTGTTCTGCTGTGCCATGAGTCCTGCCTGGCTTCTTTAAATAGCAATGTTGTTGTATATTTTATACAGTAGCCAACACAAGTTTGGTGTTTAGGTGGATCAGTGCACTGGGAAGATGCCTTTTAATGTTAACTTCCTATTTTCCAACTAAACAGGAAGCAGAAATGCTGCGTTCTATCTCTTTCCATCCTTCTGGAGACTTCATTCTTGTCGGTACCCAGCATCCTACCCTGCGACTGTATGATGTCAATACTTTCCAGTGCTTTGTATCTTGCAATCCTCAAGATCAGCACACTGATGCCATATGCTCAGTTAATTACAATGCAAGTGCTAACATGTATGTAACGGGCAGCAAAGACGGATGCATCAAATTGTGGGATGGCGTTTCAAATCGTTGTATCACTACTTTTGAAAAAGCGCACGATGGGGCTGAAGTCTGTTCTGCCATTTTCTCCAAGAATTCAAAGTATATTCTGTCTAGTGGAAAAGACTCTGTAGCTAAACTGTGGGAGATCTCTACAGGGAGAACACTAGTCAAATATACAGGTGAGTAGATGTTGACCAGTATAATAGATAAGTATATATTTCTCTCATGTACTCTTAGCCATGATCCCAGCCTCCATTACATCTAGTTAAATGTAATGGCCTTCCTGGGTGTATAATGAGGAAAAATGTAAATTGAAAGTTCTGTACAAAGTCTGCAACAGTGGCATATAAATCCAGACTTTTTCCCTTGAAATTTTGAACAGATAGTTGATTATTGCTCATAAGGAAATAACTTCATGATCTCCTCATGACCTAGGAGAAAATCAGGTAAATTCTGCAGTCATGTCCAAAATCATACTTGTGTGTTTGCACAATTCTTACTTTAAATCACTGGGGTTTATTTAGAAGAAATCCTTGGGGTTCACACATTGATTCGTTTCCTACTAATACTGCTTGATATACAAATGATGTTGCTTCTTTTTTCTATCTTGCTGAGCTGGAAACAAACTACATCAACATGTAAGCTTGCAATTTTCTGCTCAATGCTTTCTCTAATACTTCCAGTGTGAGATGCTACTGCAGTAACAGCTCCCTCAGAAATCAGAAAATCGTATGAATTAACTTCTCTGGAAGAACTCCTTTTCTGTAGAGGCATATTTTGTTATACAAATTTCCAAGTTTCTAACATGCTAAACCAGCAGGGTGCAGTCAAGTCTTGGCATACCTCTGCTGTCAGAGACACTCTGCCTCTGAATGTCAATTGCTGGAATCGCAAGTGAGGAGAGAGCTGTTGCACTAGGCTCTTGCTTGCAGGCTTCCCATGGGCGTCTGGTTGGCCACAGTGAGAACAGAACACTGTACTAGATGGCCTGATCTAGCAGGGCTCTTTCTCCAGTCTTAAATAATGTATGTACTTTCTTCCTTTACAAAGAAACAAGGGCACTGGGGGGGGCATAGTATGCATCCTCAGCTGTAGTTGGAAAGCAGTACATTACCTTGATTTAACGTTTGTGGTTGGCTATTTTCTCACTAGATGAACTCTACCAATCCAACTAGTGCACTACTGGGTTTCTTTCTGAGAGATGATTTTCTGTTGCTCTTGTATGCTGTGAGCAACAGCTGTTTTGGTTCATGGGAATGGCACATGTTTTAATAATGCTTTCAGTCATTTTATGTTATTAGTGTCTTTGAGATTTTTGGAATAAATATTTTTTCTACATACGGTAGGCATCATTTATTAGAATCTAATGCATGGGACTTCAAATATGTCTCTATATATCAAAATGTCAGGCTTTGCAATAACTTTTACCATAGATAATTCCACGTTGAATTCTGGGTGGTATATTTTCACATTTCTATCCCTATTAAAAGCATTGAAATTAATTTGCTTATAGGCAATCCAGGAAGTAGATAAGTGTCAGTAATACTTGTCTCAAAATTGGTATACCGGCTAATGAACATAAATAGTTTGTATAGATACTGAGAACTAAAGCCTTGCTACATTACACTGGAGTAAGAGTTTGGCATTTAAGACAAGGGTACTAACCTGTGGCTTCCCAATGTTGGACTCCAACTCCCATCAGCCTGAGGCAGCATGACCTAGAGTTGCAGTCCAGCATCATCTGGAAGGCCATACGTTAGCCACCCCTTCTTTAAGATTGCATCAAGTGTGTTGTGTGTCAGTGTAGTTTTTGTAAGAGAGAGAAAGAAAAAGAAGGATGTACCAAAGCCTTGTAATACTAATTCTCTGTTTTCTGTTTTGGAGATTGCAACCAATTTAGTTGACTGTTTCACTGCTATGTTAAAGTTTAAGTCATTGTCTAGAGCTGGGTTGCTGGTCTGTTATTCTCTCAGTTCTGCCATTAAGTTCGGGCATGAAATCTCTTCTCCTACCCAACATGTTTTATGATAAATATTAATATACTTCACGGCCTCCTATACAGGAGAAAACGGTTTTTCTTCAGTATTTTTCTTTCTTAATAACAGTGACTCATGTCCAGTTTCTAACCTTTTAAACTACCCCAATTTGTTTTGCCCTGCCCAGTAGTAGGTGATAACCATTTTTGGTGGGGGTTTTTTTAAACTATATGTTAGCAATAGCCCATGTACTACAACAGACGTAGTTTAATTCTGCTCCCAATTATATTATATTTTAAAGAGTACTCCACAAAAAGGAGGACTGTCAACTTAAAAGGAAACTTGTAAATTGTATCTCCGATGTTTAGTTTATTATATTCTTCTCGTTGCCTGTGATAATTATTTTAAAGGGATATCACTTCCACCTTTCATGAACACCACCAGCACCAGCAACAAAAGTGTGTGGATTACCACACCTAATTCATGCTGGCAGTATCACCAAAGTGGCATTAGCTTCAGGAATCGGCTACCACAAGACATGGTGGTACTAAGATAGTTTCAAAAGGACAAATACATGAAGCTTAGGTTTATCAATTATTATTTGCTGCAATAGCTAAATAGAAACTTGGAAGTCCAGAACTAGTAAACATTAGAATACCAGTCATGGAAAAGAGATAGGGAAATGCTTCTGCGCCATGTTGGAAAGCTTCTTGGAGGCCTCTGACCATTTTTGGAAATGGGTACTACGTTGATAACAGTATGATCATGAAGGACTCGATAAAATAGAGGGTTCATTTTATAAAAATGCAGTATTTTGAAACTGCAAGTCATCTCTGATATGACATCTCTGACATTGCAAATTCTGGTCTGTTCCTGCAATCCTCGTTTTTCCATAAATACAGTTAAAACTGCAGGGATATCGTGGAGTGGGGAGTGGGGTCCGGAGGGAGCACACTCCCCACTCCGCGATATCCCTACAAAAACATCTGTGACAGTAAAACTGAAGTATCCTTTTCACGTAGAACTATCTAATATATGGCTTCCATTAACTTCCATCCACCAAAATTGTAGAGACAGATTTATCATTAAATATTTGTAGTGATGTCAAAGATAGAGCTCAACCTAAATCCCAAGGAAAGGGGGGGGGAGTTCTACTCATTTCATTTGAAAACTTTTACTCCATCCCTAAAAGACAAGATGAATAATCTTTCAGATATAACTTTTTTTTTCCATTTCCAACTGGGAATATTTTTTTTTAATATCATAAATAATGTATTTTAGGTTTGAACAGATTCCTTTTCTGCCAACGTGGAAATAATGGTGGATAGCTGAGATTTATGTGGTACCACATACCACAGAGAAAATGTGGTACAGGTGGGATCTGCAATAAAATATTTTAGCATTGGACTGGGTGTTTTTGAGGGGGAGGTCCCCGCCTGGGATTTAAGGTTTTTGTACTCTGCAAACTTCAAAGTTTTTTGAGCCTGCTGATATTTTGGCTACATAAATACCATCACTTGGAGAATTGAGATCTCTTTAAATATATGTGATAATAGATCGTAAACAAGTCCTTGACCTCTTGGAGGTAAAATTTCTTTAGCGGCACTTTTCAAGACAGAGACAGCTGTTTGGATTAAACATACTTCAGTGTCTGCTAAGATCCCAGCAAACCTTTTGTAATATCCTGATACCAGTCTTGCTACTCATAAATTGACTAATGGTCTCTCTTACTTTCTTTACTGCAACTAGTTGGTTCAACCTATTCTTTTCCTCATCTGAAATTTTAGGAATCTGGACGTTAGAAAGAAAGAACTCTCTTTCTTGGGGTGAGTCAGACCTGTGTAACTATGAATAGTATTTAACCAGTCCTGCCATAATTAGATTAATTTCCATTTCTACCCTCCCCCAGTACAACAAAATAAATTTGAAACTAAAAATAATTAAAAAGTGCCCTGCTCATGCTTAACCCTGGCAATGAGAGCTCATCTAAACAAATTTACTGTGAAATATTTGACTCTTCCAGGCATTCATTAAGGGCAGTCCCACATAGAGCGCATCACAGTAGTCTAGCCTCAAGGTTATGAATACGTGACAGTTGCTAGGTCTTGATCTGATAAAAACAGAAACACCTCAAAACTCAACCTACCTTTCCCAGTTTTCAGGTAAAAATCTTCAAGCTCACAAGGCCGGCCTCAAACACTTGATATCCAGGTATGCCTGGAGCTGTAGAGCAAATACTCTCAGTAACCTTTCCAAAAGGAAAGGTTAGAAGTGTATCAAAGCTAGGTCCAACGTACTCCCGCCCACCGTTTAAATAGGAACAAAACAATGGCAGACACTGCCCTATCTAAATGGAAGAAAAATACTGCCCAGCAAGGAAACCCAGCTTCTCCCAGTTTTGTTGGACAAGTCATAAGGCCCTTACATCCCTGAAGATTCTTATGTTTGTGTATTAGATACTCAGTCTTCAAAACAGACACCTCTTGAAGTAGAGGCAGCCCATGTTCCCTCATCACCAGAAATAGTTTTGAATGATACTGTGTAGGTATTATGGCAAGCGGGGAGGAATTACTTGCCACAGGTTTTAGCAGATCTTCTGTAGCAAGATCTGTCAGCTTTGTTGCAAGTAAAATACCATCTAACACTCTTAATCATCTTGCACTTCACTTCATCTCCTTTCAGCCCTATGTAAAGTTGTGACTTGTGCCAACGAAGTAGTGAAGATGACCCTTGGAAGCAACTGTTTTAGAGGTTGACATCCACCTCCTGTTCCATTAGTTAGCAAGGTCATCAACAGAGCAGAGTATTCTGGAATCCAGTCAACTCTGAAACTACAGAGCCAGGCTAAACTGACTCATTGCTCCACTAGCAATTTTGCTTAGAGTTGTCTTGAGAAGCATATCCATTCTAACTAATTTTCACATTATGGTCTTTAGAAATGAATATTCACAACCACAATTTTCTGCTGATGCCAGCCTTCAAATTCCTGTCTAGCTTGGATTGTTGCTGTGGAAGTAGTGTTTCCCTTAACCTCTAGGATGCTTCTACACTAGGCCTTGAGTGTGTAGTTTATATGCTTCATTTACTTTCCTGCAGTGGGCATTCACTCAGTCATCCAAAGCAGTTATTTTCCCTGCAGTTTTTGCATCTTTTCTCAGACCACAAAGACCAGAAGAGCAGTACAATCTCTGCAAAGAGGTTTACTTTCATGCCATTCTTCCATCTTTTTATTTAAAAGCTAGGGGTTTATGTGGGCTGTGACTTACTGGAAAGCGAACCAATAGCAATTCAGCACACATCGGCTTTAATGATGGGTACCATTTTATGATCTCATTTGTTTTTCTTGAGGGGGTGGTAATTTTATCTTGTTAATTAGTACAAAACTCCTTTCCAGCTAGTTCTTTTAAATGAAAAAAGCATGACACCGTAATGGTAAGGTTTTTTTTATGAGGTTTTTTTAATTAAAAAATGAATGGACAAGTAATAATGAATGAATGCTGTGCCACCATAGATATGTGTTGGCAGAACACAGCAGGATTTACATGTAGAGAAAGTGCAGTACTTCCGATAGTGTGGAAGTCTGTCGCAATTACGTATGTAGCTTATAGCGGTATAGTAAGTGATTGGGTAGTGCTGGGAGCGACCTCTTTATAAACAGTAGAAAACGCAACATGTTTGTATTCACCTGAAAATCTTATTTCTTACATAATGTTAAACTTTAAACAATAAAATATTATTGAAATGCCTGAAGGCTTAATTTAAACAGGAGTGTGGAACCTCAGACTTGGGGGCTGAATGTTGTCCTCCTGGCTGCTCTAGGGAACTCTTCTTAGGCCATAACCTTCAACTGCACCCTTCTTGGCTTTTGTCTGACTGGAAAGAGTCTTTGAACTGTGATATTGCATCTTCAAATGGGACGCAGGTGGCGCTGTGGGTTAAAGCCTCAGCACCTAGGACTTGCCGATCGAAAGGTTGGCGGTTCGAATCCCTGCGGCGGGGTGCGCTCCTGTCGTTCGGTCCCAGCGCCTGCCAACCTAGCAGTTCGAAAGCACCCTCGGGTGCAAGTAGATAAATAGGGACCGCTTACTAGCGGGAAGGTAAACGGTGTTCCGTGTGCTGCGCTGGCTTGCCAGAGCAGCGATGTCACGCTGGCCACGTGACCCGGAAGTGTCTGCGGACAGCACTGGCTCCCGGCCTCTAGAGTGAGATGAGCGCACAACCCTAGAGTCTGGCAAGACTGGCCCGTACGGGCAGGGGTACCTTTACCTTTACTATTGCATCTTCATAATCTGTATGGAGAGGTAGGGGTGGGTGGGTGTGTAGAAACCTCTGACAGCTGTGTGTCTGGGATATATTTTACTATACAAAGATAAGTGTCACATCCTTCAACCTGTCCACTTTTGCCTCTGGTTCCATCTGCCACTAACTTGTGGCTCCCAGCCTTTTGCCCTCAAGGGAATGTCGTCCTTGAGCTATAAAATGTTCCTAACTTAATCTAAATTCCAGAATAGTGTGATATAAATGGTACTCAGTTGGCAGGACTTGAGTTCAAATTGCCACTCAACAATGAAGATTTCTGGGAGAATTGCTTTCTTAGTCTAACCCTCTTTGAAAAGTTGTAAAGAAAAATGTGGAATATTCCTTAGATGGGATCCAGAGGGTAGTGGCCAACTAACTTGAACTCAAAGCACACCCAGTGAAATCATTGGACTTGAGTAACTGATGTCTGAATAATTTCAATGTGTCTGTTTCAAGTCATGTTCAAAGGTAGACCCATTGAAATTGGTGGACATCAGGTAATCATGTCTATTGACTTCATTGAATCTGCCCTGAGGGTGACTTGATTGGATCCAACCCAGATGTGGTACATTTACCTAGAGCAGGGATTACCAAACTGTGGTACCTTTTTTCCTGCCCAATTTTGATGGTGACCATTGCAAAATGCAATCATCATAGGAGGCATAAGACACTCAAATATCATCTACATCAGGGGTGGCCAACTCTCAAGAGACTGCAATCTACTTTCAGAATTAAAAACTGGCAGTGATCTACCTCCATTTTTGTGGGGTTCAGCTCAAAGTTGTTGAGCTTTTCTGGGGAAGGGAACACTGTTTTGGGGGGGTTCAGCTCAAAGTTGTTGAACTTTTTTTAGGGAGAAGAAAAGATTGGGGGGGGAGTTCCATTTGGGGGGTGTTGAAGGCAAGGGACAAAGGGATAAAGTCACTCACAAAAAGATTGCTGTGGATCAAAACAGCAGCACAGAGAAAGCTTCGTCTTCCCTTCCAGAGATCATACAACAATGGAGCGTGGGGCGTGGCAGGAGTCAGTTTTAGCAGCGCTAAGGAAAGGGAGCCAGAGATCGACCGCAATCTACCAAAACCTCATGGGGATCTACCAGTAGATCGCGATAGACCTGTTGGACATCCCTAATCTACATTAATGCAATTTTCTTCGATGGAAAAGCCTTTGTAAAAACAAAATCTTTTTATTGTAATTAAACTTCTCTTGTGCTTTGAACATTCAAGCACCATATTTTCTTTTGCTAACAGAACCTTTTGGAGCATTTAACTAGCTAAGGGATCAATCTTTTGGCATTTTTTCTGTTCCCTGCTGAAATCTCCTCCTTCTAACATTTACTCTTACATACCTGCTCCTTGGTCTCTTCACTGTAGTTGGGCTGCTATGAAATGTTACTTGGCACATTTTGGTCAGATATACAATCTTTCCAGTATTGAGTTCAGGGAAATCCAGGTCTGTCAATTTGTAGGAAAAGGTGGTTTATACAGTGCTGATTGGCTAGAACCTGTGACTTTGCAAATCCACCTCTTCTCTCAAGAGCAGTTTTTCAACTTTGGGGGAGGTGGAGGTTTGATAAGATGCCAAAATAACTTATGTATGTATAAACCTTCAAGCAGTATTTTCAATAGTTAAAAAAGACAAATTTATCCGAAAATGCAGGATGAGGACCAAAAGTGAAGCTTAATTAGCAATCAGCTTGAAAGCAAAGTATATCTTTGTTTGTAGTGGAAAGATGGGGGTGAGAGAAGCTGGACTCAGCCTGCATCCCCGGAAGTAAAATATATATTTTCTTTAGATGTGTCTGTATATGCCGTTAGTGTTGGTTTTAATATTTCTTTCCAAGTGTGTAACAATTATCTCTCTAGATTCCTTTTAATTTTTCAGTTTCACTTTGAGTTTTGAGAAGTGCTAGTGTAATCTTGTTCTCAAACCTTGCCCTACATTCTGTAGCTGAGATTTGACTAACAAAGTTCTTTACTTTTTTTAGATGGGGAGACTAGTATACTTCTATTATTATTATTTTTTTAAAGAAAGTTACAGTATATATAATGTGTCATTATACTAACAGAGAAATTTTACTAGAAAAGGTGAAGGAGAAATCTGCACCATACTTAATGCAATTTCCAAGCTGTGACTGCTTGCAGTGGGAGGAAATTGTGGCTGTTCTTGATTCCCTTCCATTTCCTCCAATGGGAAGAAATTATGCAAGGTCTCATATTGAGATATTTTGGGGAAATGAGGGTACCTTGGGATCCTGTGTGCCCTCAACTGCCCCAGCATGCTCCTAGTCAGCCAGTGGAGCAGCCATGATGCTTGGAAACTCCAGCTCTGTCCAGAGATTACCTCTAGCCACATGACGAGAGAGGTCGGTATTACAGGGGCCATAGGATTACACCATGAAAGTATTGTTTAATGTAAACTATTCAAATGTTTAATTGGGCAAGAATTGGTTCCTAATAAAGTAATAACGAAGGCTAAAACTTCCTTATAAAGTAATTTAGCCAGTAATTTAGCCCTAATTTCGCCTCATATCCTTTCAGTGATCATAGTGAAGTCAGTGCAGTAGCTGCTGTTCTAATCTAAACTTCTCAGATTTATTGGGTTTGGTTGTGGATAAATCATTACCTAGTACTGACACAGGTGAAAAACCATTAAGATGTGCCTGTCAGATACTGATGCATCCTGTTGGTTTTTAGAATTCTTTCTAGGAGGATTTATTGGTGGTCATCTATAGCTGCAGTTAGTTACCTTGTTGCTTTCTGGAATGACAGGTTGACCTATTGACCTCTCTGGTATAAGGCACTGAGAAGCACAGTTGGCAAAAGATGTGCAGCCATAATCAGTGAAGTTTTATGCAGTAGTGGTGCCAAAGAATACTTTCCTCTGCTATTGCTGTACTGCAACTTCTCATAGAGCTGTTCAAGTTGGTGTGAGAGGTCCTGACATGGATTATCCCACCCAGAGAAGGAAACATGTACAGACTGCTGTGGCATGCTAAATATAAAATTGAACCTGTAATGGTGCCACAGAGCAGAAGCTCTACTGGAATCATCATTGGCAACCTCTTGCCGCAAATGCTCAGATTACTTTCTGCCAGTTTATTTCTCTTCCATGATATTCTGTGAACTTCATATAATCTAAGCCCTTGCTCAGCATACTTGCTGAAAACTGCATGGAATAGGCTGGTGTGAAGCTTCTGTTAAAGGTGGTTGATTGAGCTGGATCAGATTTTTTTAAAAAAGTTATTTTAAAAGCTCATTGCACTTGAGAAAAATTACAGCTTCTTTCAACGAGATGACCATAGGTTCTCTTTAAAAAATCTTTCTTGATGTGCCAATCCTGACAGGAACTGGTTATTCCTACATTTTTGCCTTTAAACTGGGAAGGTGATTGAATTGACAATTGCACCATTACTGTCTGCTTTCTGGGATGAATAAGAAACAGTTTTCTTAAGCTCTGTTCTGCCTGGCTTTCAGCATGGGCTCAGGACAAAAACTCCTATAATAGCCCTGGTAGCCAATCATTTCTTAACATGGGCAAGGAAGTAACACTAGAGTTGTTCCTATTAGATATCTCATTTACCTTTGAGATTACAGATAATAAAATCTTGTTCCCTTTGGGGCTTTGTAAATGTAGTGGTTCGGCCTGGTTCGATTTGTTTGTGGATGTAAATTTTGAGATTGCAGATAGGCAAGTTTGTGATAACTGTAGAAGCTGGCTTGTAGAGTGCCACCATTCCATTATCTCTCTGCAATTGTTTAATACTGTACTTGTAAGAGGCTGTTGGGACTCATCAACCTAGGAAGGTAGCTCCTATAGGAGAAAGAAAACTGTGATCCTGACCCTCTTCACCCTTGTGGAATATCATTGGGATAAAATAAGACTAATGTGTAAACCCTACACAAATCAGAGTGGAGTCTCTAAGATAGTTGGATGGTGCCTTCTATGCCTCCCGGCAACTTCTACAGCCAAGTTGGTGCCAAATGTATTGCTCTGTTTACCTTTGGCCCATCAGCAAAGTCAAGAGAGGGGTCTTGTCATCTGGCCAGCTCAAAACCTCCATACACAATGCCCAGGCTTTTGCCCCAGGGAGGTCATTTGAGTGCTGCTAACACAGCAGTTTGACTTCATCCCCGGATGTGCACTCCATTGTCTT